TATATTTTGACATCTTTAGAAAGTATTTGTAAAATTGTAGATTTATAACAAATTGTATATGCTCCTTATGGAAATAAATCAAGTGCTCCTGGTGAAAGTAAATCGCGCTGAAATCGCTGAAATAAATCTATCAAATTAATAGAATTTTCAACTATTTCAGCGATTTATCATAAGCACTGAAAGGAAAGGATGTTGTGTAGTTTGCATCCACTTCTTCTGGGGGCAGTAATATGCGGGGGCATTTTGCGGTTACAGGAAAAAATGACCCTTATATCCTCTCTCAGGTTTCTCTCTGTTAGGAGCTATGACAGGAACATATTGGAGCATGTTGGAGCATGCGACGCGAACAAACCTAAAAGTACCGCAAACTGCCGCCATTTTGGCTCCATGATGCGCAGTTATTCAAAACTTCAGCCCCTTTCGCTGCGATTTTTGCAATTTTCAACACAGTAACCGGGCATTTTCGATAATAACAGAATCAGGTTCTTCTTCTTCTTCTTTCAGACCTCTGTATGGATTTCCGACCTTTTAACAGAATCAGGTTAGGATTTAGGATAGCACTTCAACATCATTTTGGCTCCAAATGCTAATTCAGTGAATTTTCTCATCGCGGTACTTTGTTAATCTAGTGACTTTGGGTACGGTCAACGCGATGCTACAAACGCTTTGAATTTTTTTTTAATTAGTCAGTTTGTAAAATTCTTTCTTCTAATTGATCCATCAAATGCTTCAAAAGTTCAAAGCATTTGTAACGAGACTTTGACCACAGCCTTTAATTGGTGTATTCTTTTGGATCAGCCAATCAGCATTTTAGATCTGGAAGAATACATCAATAGCAGCGAGCGCTCACTCAACTGTTGAGTAGTCCAACTGGGTGCTACCCCTACAAAGCTCTTAAGCACCGGTCGCTGTGATTGGTGGTGTCCAATCGAACCGTGATCAATCGGGATTCGGGATCACCCCAAATACTGCTCGGTTTCATGGCTTCACGTCAATTTCACTCGTAATATACAAACGATATTTTCGGCGACTCTTTTCTCTTATACTAAAGCCCCTACCTCGTTTCGAAAAGCATAAGATTGTTCGTCGAGATTTTCTGTAGGCTACTTATAGCGTTTTCCACTTGTAAAACTGGTGCAACACTGGTGCGCACTGAGTGCAATTGTGTTGTTCCACTGTGAAAACTAGTTCAGTGTTTAATGTTCCATTGATAAAACTGGTGCAAAAAACTTGCACTGAGTTCAACTTTTGCTCCACTGGCTTTGAAGTCAGTGGAGACCAGTGTAAGTTGAAATTGAGGTTGTGTTTGTGCTAAGGTATGATATGTTATGATATGATATTACATTATTGTAATTAATGTTATAACAATGACATCGTTTAGTTTCAATATTTCTAATAATAGCCATGCGATGACATTTTGACATTTAAAATTCTTTAAATGTAAAAATTTAATTTTTAAAAATGTTTTAAATAAATAAACGAATCAGAATATTATAAAATAA